GGGGAGGACACCTATCTGGTGGATAAGATGGTTTTACCCAGCTTAACCCAAGTTCTGAGGGGTCTGCCCTAGGCCTTGAACTAGAAGAAACTGGTGGGAAAAAAGAGGTTGTAGGGAAGTCCCTATGGCACAGATGTTACACAGAAGCTATTGCAGCTAACCAAGATTATGTCAATACAACCATAACAATGACCAGGGAAAGATGGTGATGTTCCTATCTTGAATTATGGACTGAATGGTACCTATGATCCAAGAAAAATGAGATGGTGACCCTTTCTTTCTCCCTCCCTTTTTTTAGGTGTAAAAGTCCTTACCCTGAGATCTTTTTAATATGTGTTTATGTATGTATACATACACATACATATATATATACATATATTTCATATATGTATATATATATATATATACATACCCCGAGGTATATATATGCATGCATGTATGTGTGTATAAACACATACATATATAAACACATGCATATATACATATACATACACACATACATTAATTAATAAATATTTATTAAGCACCTATGAAGATAAAACTTCCTTTGTAATTCTCTGTATTTTATTTTATGCATTTAAAAACATTAATCTGTGAAGGAATCATAGGCATCAGCAGACTACCAAAGGGATCCGCAACACAAAAGGCTTAAACCCCCTATAGTAGGAAGAACCCAAGTATTCCTTTTGGATAGTCATTCCTTTTATTTCTTCCTTCCATTATCCCTCCCAGGCCCTGTGATGTCAACCAGATTTGGGGAATGTTGTTCCTTTCCTGAACATTTACTTTAATTCTTAAGCCTTGGACCTATTATGAAACTTGATGACCATCAAAACCCAGGCTTTTTGCTGAGGTTTTCAATGCATGTGAAAAAATAATGGAAAGAAATATATTACCATTCAGTGATAAGACAATTTTTGTTCAGCAAAGCTGAGCAGGGGACATCATCAGATAGTCACAGAAGCAGGGGGAGGATTGGTTTTATTTTTCTTAAGCCTTGTGAAAACATCCAAGTCCCACTTCTAACCCCAGAGGGATGACTGTGCATGTGTGGCTACTCTAGTAACAAAGTAAGGAAACTAGTGCCTGACCTTACTTGTGAGCTCCCCCTCATGTTTAGATTAATTTTCCATGTTCACCATGAAGGTTGAATTCCTAGTAGGGCTGCCATGATTATAAAAGTGGAGGCCTTTTAAGTTTCAAGGAACTATATTTGTGTACCACTGAAGCCTTGAAAATCAAAATTAGATATAAGGATGCTCAATACATTGTGAGGACAAGTTTCATTCGTGCATTTGACGTTACTTCAACAAATTTTTTAAGTTTCATTAATTTTTTTCAATTAACAAGCATTTATATGCTCCACTTCCTCCACCCGATGGAAAAGAAGAACCCTTACAGGGCACAGCTAGATGGCGCAGTGGATAAAGCTCTGGCCTTGGAGTCAGGAGGACCTGAGTTCAAATCCAGCCTCAAACCAAACACTTGACACTTACTAGATGTGTGACCCTGGGCACGTCACTTAACCCCAATTGCCCAAAAAAAAAAAAAAAGAAGAAAGAAAGAAAAGAAAAACCCTTGTAAAAAATATGAATAGTTAAGAAAGCAAACACATCATCTATGTTCAGAAATGTGTATCTCATTCTGTATATTTATTCTATGTACTTTTAGGCAGAAGATGGCTTGCATTTTTTATCATCACTGATTTTCCCCTAGGGTTGGCCATTCTTAATCAGAATTCTTAAGTCTTTCAAAGTTCAACAAGCATTTATTAAAATCCAATTATATGCCAGCCACCATGCTAAGTGCTTGGGATACAAAGACAAAACAACTAAACAGTTCTTGCCCTTAATGGTCTTACATAGGGGAGGAAACAACATGTACTTAGATAAATCATCTTTGAGATGAATTCCAATCATTTTTGAAGGTCTTTTAGGAACTTAGAATGAGTAACCAGGAATATTATTGAAATGTATTGGGTGGCTATTGTGTATAAAATATATTCATATTGTATTAGAAATAGTAATATATTGGCATCAATGAATGAGGCCTCAACTTTGCTACTTTTTAGGTGTGTGAACTAGAGTAAGTTTCTTGACCTCTCTGACCATTAGTTTCCTCATTTCTAAAAAGAGGGTTGTTGGTCTAGAATATCTCTAAAATCATGCTTTAGACATAGGTGGGACTAAGGTCCAGTCTTCACATTTTATAGTTTGGGAAACTGAGTCTTAAACAGATGAAGTGATTTGCTCAAAGTCATGCAAGTAACAAGTGGTAGAACAGGGGTTCAACCCTGACTCCACTATAATGGAAGAAAAAAAACCCTCAGAACAACTAGGCATCAGTCAATAAAGTGGGGCATTACACAGGATGTCTCATAGGCACCTCAAGCTCACCATGTCCAAAATAGAACTCATTATGTTTCTCTCTCCTCTTTGGAATTTCCCTATTAATTATTATCAAGAGAACCACTATTCATCCAGTCATCTAGGCTTGCAACATTGGTGTCATCTTTGTCTCCTCTCTATGAGTAGATCACTGTAGAACACTCAAGAACATCTCATATATGGCCCCTTCCTTCTACACAGCCATCACCCTAGTTCAGGCACTCTTCACCTTTTCATTTGATTGTTGTAATTTTCTTCTAACTGGTCTCCTACCTCTAGTCTCTCTGTAGTCTAGTCCATCTCCCATTCAGCTGCCAAAAGGCTTTTCCTAAACCATATGTCTGTATCAACCCCATTCCTCTTCTCAGTAAACTCCAGTGATACCCTGTTACTTTCAGGATTATATATAAAGTTCTTTGTTTTGCATTTAAAGGTCTTGGTACCCTGCTCCCTCCTTACTTTTCCAACATCTTATATTCTACTACTTTTATAGGTTTTCTAAAAACTAACCATACTAGCCTGAACTTGCACTTTCTCACAGCTGACACTCTTATCTCATCTCCATGAGTCAGACTGGCTGTCCCTCATGCCTAAAGTCAACCTCTGAAAGCCAATCTCTGGCTTTCCTTAAGAACCCACTCAGGCACTACAACCTGCAAGAGGACTTTCCTGGGCCTCCCAACTGCTAGTGCTCTCCCCATTAAGGTTACCTTGTTTCCATTCTGTATTAATCCTCTATGTTCTTATTTTTATATGGTCTCCTAGGGAGCCTCTTTCCCATTAGAATGTAAGAGAGCAGGAATAGTTTTGTTTTGTTTTGTTTAATTTGCTTTTTCTTTGCATTTCTAAGCTTGATAGATAGTGCAAGGGTAGACTTAAGAATTGATAGAGTGAATTAGTAATGCTTTATATTTTATTTCCATCCCTGATATAAATACATAGCTCTAATTCTAAATTTAGATGTAGGAGAGGAGAGAGAACAAGTATTTATCATGTGCCAGGGACTGTGGTAAGGGCCCCACAAACATTATCCCATTTGAAATGGACCTGCCTTCTGGTTAAAAGAGTGGATTGGATCTCACTCTCACTGGGCCTCAGCCTCCTCATCTGTATAATGAGTGGACTGAATCACAGGACCTGTAAATTTACTTTAACTCTAGTTTTTTTTTTAATCTATGAATTTATAGTCCAGTCTCTTGATTTTAGCTCTTTTATTCTATGACATGTGACTGGGTAAAAATGAAACAGTTTATTCTGAGAAAGACAAAACTTGAAACATCTTGACAGTAGCATACAAAAGCAATATTGCAAATTGATATCAAAAACTTGAGCAATGCACCCAGTAGAATAAAGTCACTTAAGAAAGGCTTTCTTAAGAAAATGAGTTTTGATTCAGATCTTACTGGACAAGATGAACATTGGTCAGAGTTCAAGGTCAGGAGATCACAGGTAAGAATCAGCCAGACAGAAATTAATAAATTTTGTTGGGGGCAGGAAGAAGGAATTAGTGAGTTGTCCAGTGGTATCAAACTAACTTGGCCATGGTAGGTTTCCATTGAATTCTAAGGGTTTGGTGGTAAGGGTAAATGGCATACTAATGACCCGAGAGTTTTTAATTGAAGCTATCTTATTCCTAGTACACTGGGATAATGCATATAAAGCACATTCTAAACTTTGAATTACTATGTAAATATCAGCTAATAGTATTTGTAGTAAAATTGCTTTTAAAATATTAAAGATTAATAGTGAGAGGCAGCCTTGTATAATAGAGGGGAAAACCAACAGTGAGTGGACTTTAAGTCAGATAGGTTTTGAAATTCCAGTTACAACTACTTCCTCACTGTATGACTTCTGGGAAGCCATGTGACCTCTCTTGACCCCATTTTCCTCATCTGTGAAATGGGGAGGAGAATCCTATTTGCACTGTCTTACCTCACCAGGCTAATATGATAATCAAATGAATGAATATCTATGTAAAGCTATTAGAGAGCTATCAGTCCAAGTAATTTGTTATGCCTCTCTTTCTCTTTCTGCAGACCCAGCCCAAATAGTAACAACTAGATGATGCCTTTTCTCTAGCTGGTAATTCAACAAAGTGTGCCCAGGCAGGCATCTTAGGCTTCCATCCTTAAGAGATTTTATCAGATTCGGTGACTCTATGTTCAGTCCACTCTCATAATAATCTGGGAGGCATTTGGTAAATGAATAAACTATCTGATAACTTGGACCTTCTAGATTCTGATCAGTGCAGAGGAGACTGTGCTACAGATCTTTTTGTTCCTGGGCCTCCCCTAGGAGGTTTCAAATGTAAATTGAACAGTCCTTCCCAAGTTTACAGTAAATAAAAGAGAAACTTGTGGAATCCTCTTCCTCCAGGCAAAGTTAAGGGCAACTGTAGCCTCTCAGCTGCTGTAGTTCCTCAAACAAGTTTTACTTTTGCACACAGACCACTCTTAACTTCCTGTGTTCTGTGAGCTGGGGAGCTAGCACCATGACCGGCAGCAACATTTGTTGCAACTTTTTAAATATGTGGGAAAAAAATAAGATTTCAAGCATGTATTACATTAACCAAGATTCCAAATTATCTAATTTCTTTCAACAGGCAAGTAGCCCAACAACAGGAACAGCTCCCAGAAGCCAGTCACGGCTGTCTGTCTGCCCATCCACTCAGGACATCTGTAGGTATGTACTAAACAGGAGATCCTTCTCCATCCCCCCCCCAGCTTTTTTTAGAATTATTTGTCTGTATTCTTATTGTGCATTCTGACACATGTATGCTCCTTGCTTCTGCCTAACATTAATCATCGACGGTTAACATTGACATAAGAAGAAAAAAAATTAGTCATTTGTGTATTTCCTTTTCTTTCCAGTTGCTCTTTATTTACAAACTCTTAAGTTCATGCTGCCATTTTTATCTTTCTTTCTCTCTCTCTTTTTCCCACTGCTGTCTCTTCCATTTCCCATTTCCCACCCTGTCCTTTGCCTGTTACATTGTTTAGATCTTCCACCCTGAAAGATTTGTCAGAAGATACTTTTGAGCATTCCACCCCTGTCATGGTACTGACTCCTACTTGTAGGGAGTCTAGTAAGAAACAATTGAAACAGAGGTTTAGGCAGAGGAAGAGAGAGGCTTCTGAAAGATATGAGCATGCAAAAAAGCAGAGAAAGGGGAAGAAAAGTAAATTTCACCTCCCCATCTCAAGTCCTCGATGGAGAGAATTCCAGAAAGAGATGTCTGATTCATCTTCTACAGATGAAAATCAGTGGGTTCAGGCTCGGCAAAGGGCCCAAGAAAGAAGTAAGCTTCCCCGAAGAGGAAGAAGAAGCAATAACAGGACATGCAGAAACCTGGATGGGTCCCCAGCTTCTAACACCATTGAGGTTGTCCATCTAGGGACCAGAGATAAAGAGGAGTGGACAGAATATGACAGCTGCTCTTTAAACCACCATAGGGGAAAGTCCAAGAGATACAAAGAATACAGTCTTTCACCAACTTTACATCTCCTGAGGAAAAGAGTTTCACAAAAGACCTTGGTGGAAATAGAAGCCAAAACCACTTTGGAGACCCACAGTCTTTGGCTTATCTCAGGCCAAATGAAGCTCCCAACGAAACTTTTTCAGAGAGATATTCAGGCACAGAGACAATGCCAACAGTTTCATGGCTGGAAGAACCAGTGGCTACAAAGACCTGTGTAACTAATACTGCTCAGGAGCATCCTGCCCCATATGATGACAGGTGTGATGATGATTCAGAAGTGTGCAGGTCAGTTGCTAATTAGAGAGACCCCATGTCCCTTTAACATGTTGCTTCCTCTTAAGGGGTTATGTGTGTGCTCCCCTCCACCACCATGCCCTTTGGGAATGACTGCTCAGAGAGTAATTAAGGGCTTAACAGGACCAGAAAAGGTGAGTGTGGGAGGCAGAGATCAAGATATCTATAGCCTTGACACCAAGTCCCTTGAATGTTGAAACAGAATAGAACTAGATGTCTGCTTCCTCCTCCACTTCTTTGGAATTATTCTAAGTCATTTTTGACAAAGAGCCTCACAAACCACTTCTCCTTGGACAGACATTCCAGTTGAAGCAAGAAGCAGTGTGAGGATCCTGTGTTGTCTTAGGGACCAGCTAAAATTGGATAGCACTTGTCACCTCAAACTCATCCATGTAAGTTTGGCTGAACTCAGGAATGATGAATGAATTGGCCCCAATGCCACTAGAAAAATATTGAGGACCTAGAGGCTTGAGGTTCTATTCAAGGGCAGCTTTTTGTTGTATTTTGTTTTTAACAAGAAATGTTACCTCTGCAGTTAGGGCTAATTTGTTGTGTAATTGTCAAGCTCAGCTGGGAGATGTCAGATGGAAAATATGGAGACACAGATTACAACAGGTTCTTGGGGCAGCTGGGAGAAATGGTCAAGGGAGCTTGCAATTGGTATGTCACTACAGCAACTTTATATGCCTAGAAAAGTTAGGTATTCTGCTTTTTACCAAGCTGTATACATTTCTAAAATAATGCCATTGAACAAGTTCATTTCAAAAGGGATTCCAGTATTATTGTACTTGTACATATGGCTATATGAGTAAATTTAAGCATGAACCATTGTGGAGTCCATATAGAACATATAGAGTTATTTGGGTTTGAGTTGTCTCAGTTTGGGGGCCAAAGAAAGAAGGAGTACTTTATAAATCTGCAGAGTGTTGTACTTGGAAGGCATGGTATCTGAAAGCCCAACAGATGTTCTCACCTCCATTAAGAGTAGAATGGGGAGAGAGGGGGGTGGGGAGAGAATGAACGATCCCTGGATTTAGAGTTGGAGGATCTTGGTCATAGTCAACAAGGTGCCACTGAGCTAGGAAACTGGAAGTCTCTAGCCTAGCACATTCCAGACACAGATGACTTCATTTCTGGATATCAGAAAAGGTACAAGACGAAGGATGGGGCATAGTTCGGAACTTGAAATTTTGTCAAACAGAGAAAGATTTGACCCCCTCCTCCATCTCCTCCTCCCTCAAATAAAGGCTTTTTCAAACTCCAGTAGTGGACCTCCATTGAGAATATGACATATGTGACACATACTAAGTCTCTTCGAGACTAGAGTGACCTGAGAATATCCATTTCCCTGGAAATTATCACTTTCAAGCTACCTATTGTCTTTCTCTGTGTGGTCATCTTACTCCTAGGTTCTGGTGGGTAGGAAAACCAGCAAGAGAATTCTTCTAGTTTTAGTCAGATGTCTATCTCCTTTATCCACTTAGACAAGGAGGTTTAATGGGGAAAAAGAGGAAGAGGATGTATATTCCTGACATTTTGTATCTACTGTACTTAAAGAGTTATTATCTCTAGATTTCAAAGGATTGTTCAGCACTGCTTCCAGTCTTATTTTTTTTAATAATAGCTAGCATTTATATATCTCATTAAAGTTTGCAAAGTACATTACAAATATTATTTGATCCTCACAACAAGGTGGTAGGTGTTATATTATGCCCATTTTATGGAAAATAAAACTGAGACAGACAAATTAAATGCAGAGTCACAGCTAGGAGGACTGTGAGACTGGCTTCATTTAATTCAACTTTTCCCAAACCCAGTGCTCTAATCAATGTGCCACATAGAACTGAAATAGCCAAGTGGTATGTATTATATGTATACTTCATCACTACAATGGGTCCATGATTGCCTTCAATCCATGCTATCTCATCTTGTGTTATCCTTCCCCGTTGCTTTTCATAAATCCTTAATAGAGAATCCAGGTGACATTGTGGAGGACATCCTCTTGTTCCTTTCATGTTATATGAAAGTCTTAACTAGCTAACTCTGTTCTTGAGGCAAATTCAGTTGAAAGAGGGGGTCCAGGGCAGAGTTCCTAGCTAGATGCAGTTTTGGAGGATAAGAAAGCAGCAGTGCAGAGGATATTCCTATCCCCGGTACCTTTGCACTAGCATGGGATGGTCAAGCTCCCATCTCAGGAAGATTACAAGATGATATGTGAAGACCCAATGGCAAATCACTCTTTGCCCCATGCTAACTCTGAGGTGTGTACAAGCTGTCATTAAAGAAGAGACTCTTGCAATTGTGGAGTCACAGAAACAATTTTTCCTAATAGAGATTTTGTTCTTGAGGGACGTTTTTAAAAAAGACTTTTACCTAGACTTTTGTTGACAAGAGATTCAATAATATATAAGGTCAATCAGTGCATCAACAAGCATTTATTAAACTCTTATTTATGTTTCAGGCACTATACCAAGTGCTGGAAAACAAAGAAAGGCAGGAACAGTACCTACCCTCAAGGAGCTTTTATTCTAATGGAAAGGGCAACATGCAAATAAGTAGGTAATCAAAACTATAATCAGAGTACATGGGAGATATGGGAAAGGTCACTTTATTTTCCAATAATAATTATCATTAATAATTATTTATTGACTACTGTATGCAAGAGACTACTCCTAGGTGCTGGTAATACAAAGAGACCATAAAGGGATTTAGGATGGGTCCTGCCAAATAATGTTAGGTGGCATATGTTTACCGTTGAATGAGAGGTTTAAAATGTTACAGGGGTCAAGAGGAGGGCTAGATTTTGTTGGTCAGTCTTTTTCCATCATGTCCAATTCTTCATGACCTCATTTGGGGTTTTCTTGGCAGAGATAACTAGAGTGGTTTGCCATTTCCTTCTCCAGCTCATTTTATAGATGAGGAACTGAGGGAAACAGGATTAAGTGACTTGCCCAGGATCACACAGCCAGTAAGTGTCTGAAGCCAGATTTGAACTCAGGAAGATGAGCCTTTCTGACTCCAGGCCTGGCACTCTAATCACTGTGCCATCTAGCTGCTGAAGAACTGCTAAGGAAATTCTCACAAAAGAGGTGAAACATTTACCAAGAAAGTCAGGATTTATATAAATGAAGAGTATATAAATGGGCATGAACAAATTAGTAAAGCTGATAAACCAGGAAATGTGAGAAACAAGTTTGACTGTCTGACCTAAAGAATTCTTGGAGAAGACAAGAGAGAAATAAAGTAGGTTGGAAGCAGATTGTCAGGCTAAGGACTTGGGACTTTGAAGTTTGTACTTTATCCTATAGACAGTAGTGAGCTTTTTGAAGATTTCTGAGCAGTAGGGTAATGTGTGCCAAGTGTTATCATAGAAAGATTAATTTGGAAATGTAATAAGTAGATTGGGGAAAGGGGAGGGTATGGCAATGAGGAAAAATTCGAGGTAGGGATTCCATGAAAAGATAGTTAAATTTGGAGTCAGAATCTAGTTTTGAATCCCTACTCTCCTACTTACTACCTGGGTAAGCTTGAGCAAATAATTTCTCTGAAACTCAGATTCTCCCTCTCAAAAGTGAGTAAGTTAGACAAGATGACCTCAAGGTCATTTCTCTTCCAAATTTATAATCCTATAATTCTTTATAATAGTCAAGGTGTAAGGTGATGAGGACTCAAACTTGGGGTAGTAGTGCTGGGAATGGGAAAGAAGGAGTAGATAGATGTAGTAGTTATAAGGGAGGAAGATCTGACAGGACTCAGGGACAGACTGGATAGGACTGGTATTCTTTCAGTTCACAGGTCATGCTTTGCTCTTCTTTGTGTTTCTCTCAGGACCTGGCACACTGTCTTAAAAGAAGAGAAAGCCCAAATATTTTAGGAATGAAAGAAAATGGATGAAGATAAAACTAAGGTCAAGGAGATTAGGAAAATGATAATAGCATTGACAGATACGGAGAATTTGAAGAGAGAGCTAATTTGAGGGGGTGGAGGAAAAAGGGGAAGATACAGAGCTCCTTTTAAGTGTGCTGAAGTACCTAGTTGATATAAATGAAAATAATAGGTAAATGTAGTAGTGGTGGTTGTTCAGTCATTTCAGTAGTATTGGACTCTTCACAGCTGTATTTTGGTTTTTCTTGGCAAAGATACCAGAGTGGGTTTGCCATTTCTTTCTCCAGCTCATTTTACAGATGGGGAAAGTAAGGCAAACAGGGTTCAGTGACTTGTTCAGGGTCATACATCTAGTAAGAGGCTGAGGCTGAATCTGAACTCAGGAAGAGAATCTTCCTATCTCCAGGCCCAGCAGTCCACCCTTTGAGCCACCTAACTGTCCTGGTAATAGGTAATACTAGCTAACATTCATATAGTGTTTACTATGTGCCAGGCAATATACTAAGTGCTTTGCAATTATCTCATTTGATCTTCATAACATGCCTAGGAGATAGGTGCTGTTATTATCCCTATTTTACAGATGAAGAAACTGATGTTAATTGGAGAAACTGAACCAAACAGAGGTCACATGACTAGACCAGAATTACATCGCTAAGTCAAAGTCTGAGGCTAGATTTGAACTCAAGTTTCTCTGACTCCAGAACTAGTGCTCTATCCATTGGGCCACCTAGGTGCCCCAGGTTGCTGAAGACACAATAGTGATGGCATACTGAAGCTTAGTAGCAGCCCACAAGTTGAGATAATAGATTAGAGAATTGTCAGGAGGAAATGATGCCTCAAAAATTGGAGGTGTTGCGATCTAGGGATGCTAGGAACCCCAAAATACAGGCAGGTCTGCCTCAAAAGAATTTGACCGCTCAAGCCTTCTTTCATTCCAAGCAGCAAGTTTATTAAGATACCGTTGGATAGGCAAGAGTCCTAGTGAGTCTGTGGTATTTGTGATGCCAATACAAATGAACCAGATTCTTAAGGAAATCTGCATGTTTGATAAGGATAGGATGGATATTTTTATACAAAAAAACTGTGGGAAGATCTGGATAGAATTA